CAATTATGTGAATAATCATATTTTCAATTGGGAATATGCATAGTAGTAATATTAAGTATAAAATAAAAATTACCGATATCACTTTTGTGTTAAAACAATAAAAGCAATAATATTACAAAAACAACACAACAGATTGTATCTTCTAATTCCTTGTATTTGGCCTTAACGGCACCAACCAATATTACTGGTGTTACACCGTGTATTGTTGTATGATATATAGTACAAAATGACATGTATTAATTATTGTTTTAAAATTTGTTAAGGAAATCTGGAATTAAAACAAACCTTTTTCAAAAGGTCAAATAAGCTTTAAACTTCCAATGAGACAGCAAAGAATATTATTACGTAAATTATTAGCTTTCAATTTATAAATTATTTCATAATTTTTTTCTTTGACAATCAAAATATTAGTTCATCACCTTTGCGCGCATGGCTTCTATGGCAATAAAAGAAACTATATTTTTGAAAGAAAGTTTTTTTTTGGGGAAAGCATTATTATTTTTTTCATTTTTTTAAAGTAAATATTTGGTAGATATTGTTTGTATTATCTCAGTCATGTTTTGCTTTGAATATTAATGCACCAGCAAACAACCCTAGGGTGATATTTGGATTTAGCAAAATAAAAAATTAAAAACCTCCCACCCTCATCACTTTTTTTAAAGCCTAGATAGGGTGAAAAACTAACAATTTTTTTTTATAAGGTCTTAACAACAATATAACTCCTATTTTTGCATAGATTCTTAAATTGACTGGTAGTCAATTAATAGATTTTAATAGTACAGTGATGGGACTGTAAACTTGCAAAAACTAAATTATTTTGATATGTGTCTCTTTCTACTTATTAAACAAACTATTTTACATTAGGCTAAGCCTATTGGTTTCTAACATAAAAGGGCATAAATTATTACATCCCTTTGTAGTGAACTTTTGTGAACCAATTTCTAAATACTGTAGTGTGGTTGTAACCATTTTAACTGCAGGGGTACATATTCTCTGTAACAAATTATAGAACACATAACAATTGGTTGCAGTTTGTGCATGGTTGAACAAATCATAGATTAGTCAATATATTTTAGCAAGTGAATTGCGCAAGTACAAAGTGAGTAACTCGTTTTTATACCCATCAAAATTTGATGCATCATTAATCATTTACAGGATGTTTTTAGGGAAGTGATGAAGTTCCTAATATAATTCAATCTTTTTGGTTCTGTTTCCTTCCTCAATGTTCAAACAAGAGGTCTTTCAACTGCTCTTGTCGCCAATTTAAAACAAACAACTTAAAATTGCTTAAAACTTGGGTCAATTCAAACAGCTGGAGGTAGTTGTCATTTTTAATGACTTGAGCTTCGTTAAATTAAACTATGTTGAAAACATATTCACTGGCACCAGTCCTATCCTCCATCATGCTACCATGATCACAGTGGTTGCCATATTTATTGATAAACAATGCTAAATATAAAAATCTATATTAGAAATAATACCTTAAGGCGAAAATACTGCCGATAAGGGGAAATTTTAACGACGTTAAGGCGAAATGTAGACAAAGGATTTTTCACCCTATGAGTTAGTTAGGAGTAG